AAAGAGGGGGAGTCATGGTTTGTTAGAAAAAGCCTGGGTACTGTTGTTTGTCTCTCCCTTGCTTCAAGGCAACTGGATTCCTCCACTGAGGATTTGAACTAGCTAGACTCAAAGGCCCTTTCCATATCTCTGATTCTATGAAGCTGAAATAGGGTATATAAATAGCAGCAATACCCAAGGTCAGTACCTAAAGCATGTCTTCAGTTTTCAAATGCTTTTTGAAAGTGAAAGGCTATTAGACACCTTCAAAAGTCTCCCACTCCTGGACGATGCTACTCTAGTCCGCCCATAAAATGGAATCTAGAGCAGGACCTCATCAAATCCTCACAAATCCCTGATGAAGAAGGGACAAGGCATTTCCAAGATCATCAGAAGCTTATAGCTCTAGTCAGGCATTCTACTTCTGTGCATGAGCAACATGCAATGGAAGAAAATGAAAATGACCATGCTCGCAGTCCCTCCATCACCCTTCATGGATTGGAGGTGAACATTTACAGTGCAGGTCCCCATACAATGTAGAATCCTGAGTTGCATGAACAAGGGGACCCTGTTTCTCCACTATTCTTCTGATTCAATAAAATGCGGATGCCTATTTTATTGTTGGTTTATCTATTAGATGTATGTCCCACCTTTTTCTTGCAAAGAACTCAAAGTGACTTATATTATTCTCCTCCTCCTGCGCTCAATCTTATCCCCACAACAACAACTCTGTGAGGTAGGTTGGGCTGAGAATCTGTGACTGACCCAAAGTCACCCAGTTGGCTCCATGGCTGAGCAGGGACTGCTTGAAGGAAGTTAGAATTTGCAAGTGAGGGTCATGAATACCATTAACATTTCCATTACAAGCTCAATATTTATAACATAACCATTCAAGTCCTATGCGGACACTGCAATATTTTTACTTCTGAGATACGTAATACTGAGCATGCCTTCCTGGACCAATCAGTCTGGATCTCAGCTTCCAAGAGCTGGAAGAAAAACTTTAGTTTGCAAAGCTGCCATAGAGCTTCCAACTTTAAAATGGTAACTTTGCAAAAACTGTAACTGGACTCATCAAACCAACCAAGAAGCAGCATGATACAAGGAGGCATGCTTCCACATGGAATCTTCCTTGGGCTTCTCCAGGTGGTAATATTTTTGGGATCAGCAGTGTTGTTTCAGCACTTCCAGGCCCTGAAGCCCAGTGCTTTCACCAGTGCTGATTCCTGCTGCTGATCTACACAGCTGAGAACAGTGAAGGTTATGCAACCTCAGGCACTTATTTCTCATATCCATCTTATGAATCATTCATGGCACTTGAATTCTCTATGGCCCTTTCAAAGTTCTGGTCCTGCAAGAACACAAGATGACAACAATGCAAGATCTTGATGTTAGCATCTGTGAATACTTGATTTTACTATGTGGTATATACTTTTGAAGGGAGCAGCAAACTGGACAAGTTCCAAGTTAATTAATAAATAAGCCTGTTGCAGCAAAAGCAGTGGAGTACTTGGCACTTTACAATGCCTCAACACCTTTCCTGCATGAAAAGTATCACTTTCATCATGGCATTATAACAAAAGTATATTCCAGTGGTCACCGCAATGATTGCCATGTCTCCATGAATTGTTCCTCATGTACCAGGCCAACAGTGTGCAAATGGATTTCCAGAGATTATAGTTTCGTGAGTTTCAACTTACTGGGACAGCTAGATATGAGGCTGAAGGGGATGCATGCAAAAGCACTCTTTGTCCATGTGGCAAGGCAAGGCAAGGCAAGGCAAGGCAAGGCAAGGCAAGGCAAGGCAAGGCAAGGCAGTACATTGCTTGACTTCCTCCAAGATTTCAAACCAGGAAATAGGAAGTCCTTTTAGAAATTCATTCCTGCCTTTCTGCTTTTAGTGAACATGGGGAACAGAGGAAAAGAACAGGTTTTGTACAACGATATGCAACTGTCTCCCATTTAATAGTAAATGGAAGGAGAATGGACTAGACAGTGAAAGATGCATCTAAGTAGAGTAGAGCACAAATGGTCACTCAAAATTCTCCTATTTATCTATAAAGAAAAACTGGGGAGACAATTTCACCAAATTTCTCCAGGGGAGAATAAAATTTCAACCATTCCTCACAGGTAGGTCTTGCCCTTGTCAGGTGTTGTAGCACGGCTTCTCTCAGAGTCAATTCAGGTAAGGGTTTCATGGTCATGTGCTACTACTTCAAATAGCAACAGCATCATGGGTTGGCAGAACAACCTGATTTTGCATCCTCCCCAGTACAGAGACGGGGGGAGGGGACCATATTGTGTCCAGCTCCATTGAAAGGGTACACCCAGTGCTGAACCACGATCTCTCCTCCAATTTTCTTGCAGCTTTCATCAATGAAAAAAGGCTTCTGCTGTTGTGGTTCATCATCAGGACTTTGTTTTTATGATTTTTGGAGCTTAGTGGATCACTGTGAAGTGGCCAAGGGTGCTGTGCCGCCTTCTCTCCATTTGCACCCCTTCCCACTGCTCCACAGCCTCCCAGGCTGCTTGCTTGAGGTGTGTGTAAGGAACTCATTCTGGGGGTGGGAATCCATCAGATTGCCTTAGCTCAGCTCTACAGACCCCAGTTGGCTTTGCTATGGCTCTGAGTTCAAGCTCCTTGTGAGTGCATCCATCATTCATACATCAGGCCCCATGTACAATGCAAGCAACATCCCTCTTCCATGCAGCCTTTCTTTGCCGGGAAGAGAAGAAGATTCCTGGTGGGGCAGCTTCCATTCTGTAAGCATCCATAGGTTTCCTCTTGATTTCCCTCACTTCGTAAGCCCACAAATGCTGGAGGGATGGATTCCACTGAGTTTCATCCCAACCCTTGCCTGCACTTCCTGATCTGAAAAGCCTACAGTAGGAATAAGCTCCTGATTCCTACCCCTGGGCATGAATCAAAAGATTGTACAGGCTGCCAGAGAGAGAACGGTACATGAAAAATATTACACCCACACCCTTTCTTGGCCAACTTTTAAATCAAGTAAACACATGCATCCTGAAACCAACTCATGATCATTTCTCCAAAATTTCTTCTCCTTTGCCTTTGTTTTTAAAAGCACTTTATTTTCTATCAAACTGAATGCAAGTGGATGACAAAAGTTCAGCACAGCACAAATTTAATGTACTAGATACAATATTTTTGGAGAGAAGACCTCCAGGAAAGCGATTAGTGGAAGGACCTGGTTATCATCCTAATTAGGTCAGTTCCTAAAGTTGCTGCTGGTGTGATATAAAGGCTCTCCAGCATCCCCAACCTTGTGTACGTGTGAAAATACTCTGTGTTTTGTGTGTCCATGTGTGTGAAATCAACATTCACCTGCAAGATATTTTTAGAGAGGGAATAGGACAGAGTAAACATTAGAAATGGCATGTAGTTCAGTAGTCTGTTATCCAACCCTGCACTGAACACACATGATAATTATGCAAAGTCAAAAACACAACTAAGGGAAAACAGTGGGAGAATATTTCTTCTGTAATCTTGGTCTTGACCTGACACCTCAAACTCCTGCTGACGTCAGTCACTTAAAATGTAGGGACTAAAATCTAGATTGCATTTTATTACCATTTTCAGTTTTCTTCGGAATTCTGCGCATTTCCACTGGACATTACCTTTTCCCAACACACACTTCAAGAGCAGACGAGGAGCATCTGCCACATGTGCTGGCCGGAGGTTCAAGGCCACTAAGGAGCTACGTTGCAAGCCTCTGAGAAAGAACCTCATGGAAAGATGGGTTCTCATCCTGGCCACGTCCACTAGACAGAGGAGCAGCTGTGGGGAACTGGCTTCCCTCCATCTCTGCCAGGGAGAGCAACCTTCTCCCACTGACAGTTGTCCTGGTATTGCAGAGCTGAAGAACCCTTGGCTCTGGCTTCAGCCAGATGACCAAGGCTTACAATAGGAATTATTTTAATTATTTTAAAGTTTCACTGATTTTAACTGGGATGTTAGAGTATTAATGGTTAGATGCTGTGGGGTTTGTTTTATTCTACTTATTTATTGTAAGCCAAACATTCTGTAGTGAATGGGATAGCGAAGCTTTTAATAAATAAACAAACAAACAAGATGCTGAGCCCCTAAGGAAGAACGTCAAGGCAGGGGAAAACAAACCTGGCCCTGTGCATTGTCCTGAGAAGAAACATCCCAAGGAGCTTGCTTTGCCCTGCCAGAAAGTCAACATTGTGACAAAGAACGATTTCTCCCCCATGCCTTCCAATCCCTTTTCCTTTTGTGTTGTAAAACTGAGGGAAGGGACCATCTTATCATTTATCTGTCTAAGTTGCTCTGGGAGCCTTTTGCAGCTGAAAAGCTGGGTTAAAATGGTGATAACAAGAATCATAACAACAATAAATAAATAGAACTTGAAGGACTGCTATGTTATAGCCTTAACATAATTTCCCCTATCCAGAGCAACATGGCCAAATATACCTGTGTATTGCATATGGCACAAAGTTTATTTATGGCCAAAGGTATTCCAGGGCAGGATCTGGTTAGTCCTGCTGGAAAATTAACTGCAAAAGGAAGACTTGGGGAGAATTCTAACAAATAGCAATTTTAATTCTACACATTAATTACACATTGATGGTGATGTAAAATGACTTATTTCTGACCTTTCTTAAGATTCTAACCTTATTTCTGGCATTTCTTAAGATCCTGACCCTAACCCTTGTGCAATAGAAAGCCTCGGACAGAGGAAGTGGGACCAATCCAGGTACAGACTCTAATCCTCATTGTTAAACACTTTCAGAATCAGGTCTTTTTATATATACTTTGCTCCTTCTATATCAACCTAAAAAATACTTTCCCTAAAATCTCCCATTTAAGTAGATTTCAGTTGGACACCCGTGTCTTAGCATTGTTCCAAGCTTCAAGAGCTTCCCTTGAAGAATGTGACAAATTATCTATGATGGTTTGTTTATTTTATTTTTACAACAACTGCAACAGTTTCAAGAAAAGGACAAGTCAGCAGAGAAAACAAGTATCGAGCCCTTACCACAATGTAGATCTGTGGCTTCCGCCTTTTTGCCAGGTCAATGATATTGACGCCATTGTAATACAGGTTCTCGATGCAGCCGTGGAAATTTTTCTTTAGAAAAGTTCCGGGTTTTCCTGGGACTGGGATTCCTCCAAAACTGAGCTTTGGGGAAAGAACAAATATACTTGGTTTAAATTTCTAACCATCATAAGGCAGGGTATGGAAAACACAGCTCTTGCTTGTGAAAAGACAAAAAGAAACAGACACAAAGACAAATGGAAAAAAAACTCTGATGTTCTGGTGCTGACTATTGTCAATGGTGAAGTGCTATAATCAGACTGGATGAATTAATTAAAGAGAGAAAAATATTGCACTGCCAGCCACACTTCATTGACTGTTCACCTTGACTGAAAAGTAAGTTCCGCTGATCATCAAGCATGACTGCTAAGTGACAGGGTGGAAGAAGTCCCTGAGTACAATTAGGAATCAGACCAGAAATTAAAGCTATACTGCACAAGACTCAGAGAAAAGTTTATTCTAAGAGTTCTGAATTCCTTTTTAAGTGCTGCTCCCAGTTCCAAAACCTTATCCAACAACTGCAATAGGTACTTTTTTGATTGGACACCAGGCACTTTTGGAAAAACTACATGTCTGTTCGTGCTGAGGCAGCATTGATTTGAATTTCCAAGGAAAAGAAGTAGAAAGAGACTAACTTCTATCCCAGTGAAGCACCTCCCAGAAAGGAGAAATAGGAGAGACTTCCATCTCTCCCACCAGAGAGGGTAGAAGAAGAGATAGGCCTCTCCCCTCCTCACAGCAGCAGGAGCCAGGAAAGTAGGTAGCACCAACATGCAGGAGCAGCTTATGGAGAACATGCCATCAGAGAAGAACCACAGAAGAACTATGGGGGAGATATTAGGCCAGTTCAGAATACAGAGAAGTAGCTTTACAAGCACAACACATTCATATTCCAAATCCAAAAGTGCTGAAGTCTGGCAACCAAACTAGTATGAGCTAAAGTACTTGGAAACATTCAAGTTGCATGCTGACACCATCTTAAGAGTCTTTTGAGCCATCTTCTATTATGCTTCCATGCATGAAGCTTTATAATAATACCTAAAATCCAAAGAATGGATAACTGAGGTGAGGCCCACATACAGTCATACCTGGTACAGGAAACAAATTGGGTTAAAGTGGGTTCATGTGTATATTAAAAAGCTTGGGGGACAAGCCTGAGCCCAGTGGGATGGCACAGAGTTAAGACATAATCCCCCAGCAAAACCTTCTGGAATTAGCCACTTTGTCAGAAGAAATGCCTCTTGTCTGGACAGCTTATCAAGAACACTGATTGATCGATTGATTGATTGTACTTGTATACTGCCCGCTAAATTCTCTAAACTGTTTACATGCTGATCAGTATTAAAACATTCAATAAAGAATTGCAAGTACAATGAAAAGAACTAATTTTATTGTTGGGTCACTGCCAAAACTTAGTTATAGGCGTTGGAATATAGTCCAGAAACTTCAGCAGCCCTCAAATAGGGCAAGAAGATTGTTAACAGGGACAAGCCAATGTGACCATCTCCGGTCTGTATTTTACCATCTGGTTGGCAGTCTATTTTCAGGCTTAATTCCAATTCTAAGACCCAAATGGCTTGGGACCTTCTGAAGGATGGTTTCCTTCCATGTACCTGCCTGGATCCCAAGATTGTCCTCGGCAGTCTTTCTCAGAAGTCCCTGTCAAATGAAACAAGTTGGGCAACTAATAAGAAAAGAGATTTTCTGCCAAGACACTCTGGTTGTGGAACAAATTCTCCAGAGATACACCTTTGAATACATCACTTGTACTCTTCTGACACCACATGAAGGCCCTCCTATTTTCTCAAGAATTTAGTTTATTGGTTTCTGTTGTTTTAAATCTTTCACTGTATCTTAAATCTGCTATGTCTTACTTAGGCTTCTACATATATTTTTATTATACTTTTAAACTTTTCACATTTTATTTCATTTTTGATGGCTTGCATTGTCATAAACTTCCCAGAGTGTTTCAGCTATTGGGTGATACATATATTAAATAATGCATAATAAATAAACAGATAAATGAAACAAATAATGCAAGTTAAAATGAAAAATGATGACATGGAACAGTATCATGATATCATCCAAGGAAACCTTGGAGAAACAAGTAAAAAATCCAAAAATGGCATGGGTTTTTGCATCAAAAGTCATTAGCAGGCCAAGAAAATGTCTTTCTCCAGGGAAAGTCAATTCATCAGGGCAACTAAGGCTATTTTTATGCCAAAACCTAACACCTGATTAAAACTGATTGTTAAAGCACCCTTGTAGGGAGGAAAAGCCACTAAAAACTTGCCTGGATACCTCTGTACTGTGTTCACTGGGATGCATGTTCATATGCAATTTTAGGGCCCACATTATTGGCAGAAGACATTGCATTTAAAGACCAGTTCTTTTCCTGGAGATTATTATTACTACTACTACTAGTAGTACTACTAGTACTATGGTTGCTCGTTTCAGATACCTTTCTCCCTCTGTTATTTCTCTTTTTGTACCTTATATTCTCCAGTTCTAGGATTCCATTCTGGGTTTCAAACCAACAGTGAAATCAGTATCTATTATATTGAAAAAAATGGTATGCTTTTTTCAAGCATTTTTTTGGGAAAACAGTGATAGAAATATCTTTAATTACCAAAGTAATTATTGTATTTTCCTTAGGTAGGCCTTAACTCCCTCAGGTGTACTAAGATAAACTTTCATTAGGCTGCAGTAGTGCTCAGGTGAAGCAATGGAGACATTAAAATGAAAGAACAAAATCTGGGTAGTGTCTGGACTGGTGCAGAGGATCATTAGGCTGAAATCAGTGTAACGTAATCAGAAGATGAAAATGATTTATATTCAATGTGGAACTGAAATAACAGAAGTTCATGCGAGGGATTCTATGCGATAGATTAGGAATAGCAAAATGATTCTATTTGGGATCTGTGTCACTTTCACATATTGTGCACCAGTAAGTATCCCCTGTCCTATTTTCAATTTTTCAGAATCAGCATATGGATTTCTAAAATATTGTCTCTCAGAATATACATTTCTAAACACACACACACATACACATCTCCATATGCTTTTGATTATTTTTCTGAATTGAACAAAACAGAAAAGAAAAAAAAGAACATGCCTTCAGTATATCTCCATCAAAGCATATTCCTATCTCTTCCCCACCATGTATGTTTGACCTACTTTACAACTAACCTCTATAATAGCTTTTTTATCTTTTCTTTTAGCTAGGGTGGGGAAGAGAGTTCTGCCTCCATGCTAGAAAATGATAATTTTCATACTGAAGCGTTGCTGTTTCTTGCTATAACCTATCATAGGTAAATCCAGAATGCTTATTTAATTGGGGAAAACAGAATCAGATGAAGCCAAGTGCAAATCAATCTCTATTCTGAAAGCAACTTTTAAGAAAGACTTCAGATATACTAATGTTTCCCACGTTTGCTACTTTGGAGGAAAAAGCCCAAACAAACAACATAATTATTGACAAGATCCATTTCACTCACTCTCACCAAAATGAGCATACACTTGAGACTGAAAGGGAAAAGTGGGAATAGAGAACCAATTATTCTAGCTTCTTGAGAGGTTGTGTATCAAGGAAAGCTAATCACATACAAGAGTAGTAACTCTAATATTGACCCCGAGCCACATTTAAATGAGGACATTCACACCATTCTAAGCTCTGCATTTTGTTTGGTGCAAGGCTGTTATTAATTACTGCCACAAGATATAAAAATCTCTGCTTTTTGCTACTCAAGAAGGCATGCAGCAGACAGAGAAGGTGCTTTCCTCACATTTGGCCTCAACATACAAGGAAGAACTGACATAATGATGCTGTGTTGAGCAAAGCACCTGTAATTTGCAATTGGTGAGCCATCTGCTCCTGAATTAAGAGTGAACTGAGAAAGGATTGAAGTTTTCTCTTGATACAGTGATGACCAACATCAGCATCTGAACTGCTTTCCAAACCAGGAATGTTACTTCAAACTGCACTAATCAACACTAGTAAAACCTATTCAATGATAACAACAGAACAACAGTGACAACAGAAGAATTCAGCTGCCTGGGAAAGGACAGCAAAAGAGAAAAACACACACAGAACAACTTTAAAATTATAAATGCATCGGAACCTTATTGCTTCTAGAGGCTTGGCAAGCAAGCGAAGCTCAGGAAGGATGGAAAATGCATAATTCTGTGCCTGTATGGATCTGTGACCTAGCATGGAAATACTTGCCACCTGAAAGGATGCTCCCATTCTCAAATTCTCTTCCCTCCCAATGCCACCCTCCACACAGTAGATGTTTTCCAGCCAAGGACAGCTTTCTCCCATCAAAACAGATAGTGCCAATTCTAGTTGCTTGGCTGGCTGGCCTTCAATAGGTCTATATTAGAAGTGTAACATATTCAAGGAAGGTAAGAAGAGGGTTTTGTTTAGTCACTACAGACCAATTGAGCAAGCCAGGTTATGTGAGAGATTAATCCAGGACCACAAAGCAACACCCTGATTTCTGAAGCCCTTTTGACAATCCTCCATGGCATGTTCCCAGAGGAAGGAGAGGGTTCCCTCTGGCAAGCCACTTTGTACCTGGGATGCCTGCACACCTCTTTGGTGCTACAGGTAAGTACTGCACTTTCAAGGGGCTACGTAGCTGGTGCAATCCCTCCCTCTTCTAATGGACTTGCTGAAAATGTGAAAATGGGCTCAAAATGTTAGAGAACAGCTTTGCATCATTAGCACACTGAATAAATGAGAGTGTAATTTATTCAGGGTTTCTTTTGACTGTTACACTGAATGTCAATGCCAATGATCACTTTTTAAAAAATCTGCATTAGACCCTTCTCCGTGTGCAGCTTAATCCATGACCAAGAGTTTTTCTTGCATTTTTAAGGCTAATAGGAAAGTATTTAAAACTTCTGCCGCATGTTAATCCAAATATGTACACAGAAAATTGTACAGAACCCAGATAATCAAAAGTTTAGTGGTGACACAGAAAACAACAAGTTCCCTGTTCCTATGCATATTGATTAACCTTAATAGCTATGAAGCACTAAGCATCTTCCAGAAAGAAGTTTGAAAGGGTCAACAAGCACTGGAACAGTAGCCAGATCCTAAGGAGCAACCAATAATAAAGTCAATTGTACACCTGATATCTTCAACAAATTCCATGATGCTCTTACCAGTTTGTGACTATCAAGGCTGATTTCTGGTAGAAAGGAAAATGATTGGTATACGAAGCTTTGAAAGTTATAATATTTATGAACTTTGTGAAGGCAAGAAGATTACTGGTCATAACATGAAGAAATGTAGAAACAAAATGGAGGCTGCCATGGGCCCCTGTGTACTACTTTTCTACCGTTCTAAGCATTGCATAAAATATACTAGACTAGATAAGTTAGGAGTCATATTAAATCTGTCTATTTATGTTACAACTTTGTACTTAAATAAATAAAATTAAACTTATACTACTTATTTTAGTTATACTTCAGCACTTATGCTACAGTGAGCCTGCTTATTCTAAACTTACATTGTAACACAGTGATTAATTTGTTAAATTTGTAACTTTTCTAGTGCATTATGCATGCATGCTAAAATTTCTTATTTACTGTAACATGCATGGTGGCTTCTACATGTCTATTGAAGTACATTTAAATCAATATCCATGGAACAATGTAACTAAATATTTCAGTAATGGAGTCTTTCAGGAGAAATATTAATCGTTAAATTGATATTATTGCCATTTCTCATAAAAGCTGTGTGGAGCACCTTGCAGTCATTCTGTGAGGCATTTCTGCCAGGTTCCTGTGACTTTGTTCATGAGACAAAAGATCAGACACACCTCATAGTCAATATTCAGGTCATCAGAATCTCCCTTGGTCCGGAAATGCTGCACATGCTTGTCCACTGTGAAGTTCACTTGCTTATTGGATCGCTCAATGAGAACTGAGTGCCAGTGCTGGTCGTCCAGGAGGCTGCCCAAGGTAACCGATGTGTGGCTGTTACTGAAACGCAGCTTGGCATCTCCTGCAAAGGCAGTCAAGAGATATTGTTGTGAGTGTCCCACCCAGCATTAGTCTCTTGCACTAAGTCTCTGTACTGGATGGTCGTTAATATTCTTCCCAAGGCTTTTTTCCTCCCTGGTCTTTCAGGAAATTGTTTTCCCATGCATAAATGAGCCACCAGCTTTGAAGCGTCTTAACAGGTGAAACTTCTCCAAGTCCGTTTCTCTCTTTTTCTTTCCATCATCCACCATAGGGGAATGGCCTAGGACAGTGATGGCGAACCTTTTAGAGACAGAGTGACCAAGCACCAACCCAGAACCCACTTATCGCAAAGTGCCAACACTGCAATAAAACCTGTATACTGAGGTGTTAGTTTAGAAAAAACAACTCATACATTAACATCGTTTGTCTTGAAAGCTGAACACAATAACAGAGAGAAGGAGCCATGTTCACATTCAGCACCCCCAAGCTGGGGGACGCTGGCCTTGCTTGCGCCCAGGCACGCGCACCCATTCGCTCCCTCCCTCCTTGCCACCAAACCAGCCACCGGAAATGCCGCAGGAGCTTCAGCAGTGCTTGAAAGTTTACCAGAGGGGCGAAATGGAGGTGGGGGGAGACCTAAACCAAAGGTTATCGCTGATCCCTTCCATGCTTCCGTTGGGATCTTCCTTGAAGCGCCCCCATGGCGCTGCCAAGCCTTGGGGAGTGGGGTTGGGGGGGAGGGGGGTCCCCACCATGCACCACTCCTCTCACTTCGCAGCAGTTCCAGCCTCCACTTTTCCTCATTTTGGCCTCCCTCCCCAGCAAGCGCCATATCAATCCTGGGTACGCGCTGTCTCCTCCTCCTTGCTCCAGTTGCTGCTGCTGCTCCGCCGCCTCAACCCTGTTGCTCACTCCCTTTGCCTAGCTTCCCCCACTCACCCCCCCCATGGCCACCAGTGTGAGAGCCTGGCCTGGGAGCAGGCACGGGGGCAGCACGCATGCAATTGCCTAGCTGCGCCTGCGGCTACCGAGTCGGCAGGGTTTCGCCAGTGCGCTAGGAGAGCGGCTTGGGTGACCTCTCGCATGCTGCAGGCCAGGAGAGGAGGAAGCAGGAGGAGGATGCCGCCACCAGCACTCAGCACACCCACTCACTGCTCTCCCGCTCCCTTCCTGATGCACCCAATGTGGCTGTTGCACCTGCTTCTGGCCACCTGTTCGATGCCACCTCTTGCGGCGAGTCATGGCTAATGAGTGATGTCCTTGCCTGGCGCCGTTACTCTTTCTGAATATGTACATGGCTGCTGGGGCAATACTGGGGCGACTTGGCTCACATGCCAACAGAGAGGGCTCTGTGTGCCCACTGTGGCAAGTGCACCATTGGTTCGCCATCACTGGCCTAGGAGATCAGGAGAGCTTGGTTTCAGCCTTTTTGAGGGTCTGTTTTGTTTGTTTTGGAATTGCGTTATTGAGGGTGGTTTATTTCGACAGTATTGCAGGAAGCAAGGAGTGAATAGTGATTTAGAGCCAGCAATGTTTAAGCAGAGTATGGCCCAGGAGATCAGGAGAAACTGCTCCACTAAAGATAAATATTTTTCTCTGTGTGTGTGATTTAAATGCATATGAAAAAGAGCTCTTCCCATAATCAGTCTATATATTAGAATTCTTACACCTGGTCAAGAAGATGATGGCACACCAATAGTGGAATGTTCCATCATGGGAAACTTGTTGGCCTGGCACCCCGTCATATTTTTAGAGCACCTTACTTAATGTCACGCCAAGCTGTACAGAAGGAACCATCTGTGAAGCCGTGCATCAGAAACTGGCCCTTGCTTTATTCAATGATAAGCCAAGGGACATAAGAGGAACAGGAGATGTATGAGCATGAAATGTATTACCACGTGATAACAGCTTTCCACCTCGTTCAAGGCTTCTGCCTCTAACTAATGGGTACAGGATATGTGCTGCAATTCCCAAGAACTGTTCAGGGAAAACCTGACTGTAGAATAAATCTAAAATGTTTACCAGTGGCACTGACTTGAATCTGCCACTCTAGTCCTTAGGACTGGGTACCTGGAACCAATTTGGCTTCTGAAATATGGATAACTTTACATGTGTCAGAGCAATCCTAGGACTGTTATATTATCTGTTACCAGCCAGATGTAAAGCCTGTAATATTTAAGCTTACCATCTGGATTAATTGAAAATCTGTAGCATATACATGTATCAAATGTGTTGCAATCAAGGGCAAAGCAGTCTAATTATTCCTGGCATTTCAAGCCATTACATACTGTGGATTTTATTTTAATTTTAATGAGAACATTGTTATCTAAGCAAATTCAGAGTGAAAAGCACAATGTAGGCTGCTAATGTTTCAAATGTATGGATGAAAACTGAAAAGAAAATGATATTTATATGTGATCTAGTTTCAGCCTTCTATACAATGGAAGCAAAAATAACTCTGCAGTTCACCCACTATAGTTCTCCAGATTGTTCACTTAGGCTATTTATTCATACCGCTACTCTAATATACCATTTAAGGTTCTGGACAAAACAATCCTATGGACCATAGACAGCATCTAGGAGGACATAGAATATCTCAGATTCTCAGATCCAAGGTAGGAAAAAGATCTTCAACCTTGGAGCTTGGGATACATACTTGGATCCTCTTCTGACCCTTGCAGCCAGCATAAGAACTATGCAAGCTCATTTGGTGAGGTTGTAAAACCAACCTAGAAGAAAGAGCACAGCGGGTGGAGAGGAAGGCAGAGATGGGAAGCGACCAGGGCTTCCAGGATGCACTGTATCTTTCCTAGCAGCACTCCAACCTCCTTCCATCCCCATTTGAAAAGCAGCTAGATAGCCAAAATTAGCCATCCAGTGGCCATCTGTGTGGAGCCTGGAGACACGATCACTGTGACAGGTCTCCATAAAGTGGCCGCTGCAGTCTAAACCAGCTGAAGTTTCCAAACACTTTGGAAATGGGTGAGCATTTCTTTAGTTTACACTCTGACACAAATTGGAATGCAGCTAGATGTCGAATACAGCTTTAATGCTTGTAATGCAGTTTGCAGAAAGGAAGGAAAGCATTTGGAAATGTGTTTGCTAAATGAATGTACAGTGGTGCCTCGGCTCACGAACACCTTGGTTCACAACCAAATTGGGTCATGAACAAACATTTCATGAAATTTTTGACTTTGGTTGTGAACTCTGCATTGGGTGGCAACCAAGGTTGCGGCCATTCCCCCCCCCCCACCCTGAGTGGGGAGATGGCCATGATTGCAGTTGCGTTTGTGCAGGGGAGACGTGTGTGATCACGGGCGCACTCCTGCAGGAAAGATGGGCTCAATCTCAGTCATCTCCCCCGCCAACCAGCACAATTGCAGCCATCTTCCCCCCACCCCCCGAGTGGGGAGATGGCCACAATCGCAGTTGCATTTGTGCAGGGAAGACATAGAGGAGCTGATGATGGAAGAACTTGCTGAACTCCAGAGTTAGCAGCAGAAGGCACTTGCTGAGGAGGATTCCACTGGGGAAGAGGGAGACAGGGAGGAGGTTAGCAGTGATGTGATACAATCCATTATGAAAAAATGGAATGAGTGCCAGGATTTCTCTGAGAAGCACCACCCCAAAATAACTGTAATGAACAGAGTGTTGAATCTGATGAATGATAACGTGGTCTCTCATTTCCAGAGGGTTATGCACCACCGGAAAAAACAAGTGACTATAGACAGGCTTTTCACCAAAATTGACCCTGCAGCTAAGAAACAAAGAAGAGAGGAAACCCCTGAAAGAGATCTCCCCAATGTCCTTATGGAGTGAGGAGTGAGTGAGGAGATGGCCAGGATCGCAGTTGCGTTTGTGCAGGGAAGACGTGCGTGATCACGGGTGTGCTCCTGCAAGAAAGATGGGCGCAGCACAGCCGTGATCACACATGTGTTCCCTGCACGAACACGACTGCGATCATGGCCATCTCCCCACTCGGGGGGTGGGGAGATGGCTGCGATCTTGGTCGCCACCCAAAGCGGAGTTCGTGACCCAAGTCAAAATTTTTATGAAATTTTTGTTCGTGAGCCAAGGCTTTCATGACCCAAGGCATTCGTGAGCCAAGGTACCACTGTACTTTGTCATTTTGTTGTTCTTTGTCACTTCATTTCAATTTTTTCTGATAAAAAAACACTTGTCTAACAGCACAAAGGCAAATCGTACATAAGGAAGGTTAGTGGTCTCTGTAGAATCCTGTAGTACCTGCTACCTCATGGTGAAGTTATGCAATTCACCATAACAAGGTGTAACAACAGCCACCAATTTGGATGACTTCCAAAGGACTTTGGATGACGTCAATATTTTTGCCTAGCAAAGAAGGTATATGATCAGGTCTGGGCATTTCAGACCAAATCTGGGATATCAGGAGTTGACTGCGATTGACAGTTAATTATGGCTCATTTGTTCTCTTTCTCACAACATCCATCCAATAATTCTCTAATTCCAGAAGGCCTAGTCACAAACAATTTCACTGCTCTAATTATTCTTAAACCGTACTAATCACTGCACTATTGTAACAAAAACACATTCCAACATCATAAGGAAGAGAGGCTGTTAAGAAAGTCTGAGGTTAAAAAAAATACCTCCTGAAGCTGTGTTCATATTGAGATCTTATATGAGCTGCTGTTATAATCCTCACCTTTATTTTCCTCAGGTGTATTGATCACAACCTCAAGGATCATGGAGGAAAAATAAATAATGAGTCCATTTTCCAGAATAATGGATGAGAGAATCTAATCTGCCAATCAACACATAAAAGGTCTGTTATTTGCTTCTTGCAGTCCAAATTCTCATTGGCCTGGTTCTAGTATAAGACTAGACCATAGTTTAGCAATATTCAAATAAGTGTGTTTGAGCACATAGGCAAATGCATGTGCAGTCTATGGCAAATGCATGTGCAGCTGCATTACCATCCCAGCTTCCCTTCTCTACCATAAGAATTTGGAACCAGGTGCAGTCTGGTTTACAGAAACTGTTGTTATGTCCAAATTGAGAATG